GAGAGAGAGAGAGAGAGAGAGAGAGAGAAAGTATTGTATAAGGTACAATCTCTACCACTTTAAAGATCATAAAGGTATTTTATTATGTTTTCTTCTAAAATCTTTACCATTTTCCCTTTCACCCTTTTACATTTAGATCTACAAATCCATCTGGAATTTATTTCTGTACATGATGTGAAATAAGAATCAAATGTCTCTTTTCTACTCTGTCCCATCAGTGTATACATCTGTCTTTGCAACAATACCTTGTCTGAATTATTATTGCTTTAAAATAGTTGTAGATAATTGATACTGGATTATATTTGCCTGAAAATTCTCTGGCTTTATTCTTGCATTGTTTTCTTCCGGTTTATTGTGCTTTGTGTGTTTGCATGCTTTGTCTTTGAATTAATAATTTTCATCAGTTTTAAAATGTTTTGCATTAACTAGTTGATGATTTTTTTGCTCCTTTCTCTGCCTGTGGTCCTTCTATAAAATCACTCATTTCAATTTATTTTGCTATGTCCTACGTGCTTCTTACTCTTTTCTTTATTTTGTTTTTCTGTGCTTCAATTGTGCTATTTTTTCATTCACTCATTTTCCAGGTATCTAACATTGTTTTCTGCTTGTTAATCTATGTATGAAATCTGAATTTTAAATATTATACTTTTCTATAAGTAATTTTCAATTTATTCTTCTTATAGATTTCAATTTTCACCTGAAATGGTCTATCTTTTTTCTCCTCTATTCATTTTTTCCTCTTTTTCTTCCTGAACATATTAGCCAAACATTTTAAAGTCTTTTTCTATAAACTGCATTTTTTTAATATTTTGTGTTCTTGCTTATAAATCTTGGTTTTAGGTCATATGGCCATGCTTTTTCATATGACTCACAATTTTTTAAATTAAATTCCAAACATTGCATGTAAAACTGTAAAACTAAGATAGAAGCCTCTCTTCTGAGGCTTCATTCCTTCCTTGATATGTGTGAAAATTTCACCTTAATCTCATATGGGACTGAGCTGGATTATAGTTTTTCTTAAATCCAGTGTGTCCCTATTGTTCCCTTGTAACTACGACATAGCTCCTAAGGTTTTAAACTGACAATCTGCCATATATTTCTGTTTACCATTGAGAAAATGTGGGAAAGGCAACTCTGCTTTTCAATGCTTTCTTTTCATGTTGAATTATGGCCTCATGCTCTGTTAATGAAGTCAAACTGAATCCAAGCTGCAACCTAAGACCAGAATTAGCAAATTGCCCCAGGGATATAGAAAGTTAGATCATAATTTGATGTATGAAAGGTTCTCCCACTTTCTCTAGAGTTTTAGTCTCTTCTATACTTATCCATTCTATACTTTAGGTTTTCTAGTTGTTTACTATGAGAGCAATGGTCACAAACAATCAACTCTGTCCTACCCAAAATGGAAGTATTACTAGTCTCGTTCAATAGCAGATCCATTAGTACAAAAATCTACAAGTCACCAGAGAGTTCTCTGTCATAATGCTACACATGTAATCCATCATGAGGACCTGTTGTATCTCCCTTCAGAACATATCCAGAATCAGGACACTTCTCATCACTTTTATCACTATCTCTGTGAGATGATCCATCAGCATCTTTGACTTGAGATAGTTCAATGATTTCCATTATCTCTCCATGATTATATGTCACCTGAAATATTGCAATAATCATTTACTTGAACTTCCTGCTTATATCCTGTCTCTAATTATTTTAAAACTCCCTTGTAATATGTTTTTAAAAATAAGTAGATAATGGCATTATTTTGTTTAAAATATTCTAATCACTCTTCATTGTCCCTTGGCATATAATTCAAACCCCTCTAATGCCCTACAAGACTCTAGATGACCTGGTCCCCTCTTTAGTATCATCCTTTTCCAGTGCTTTCCACTTATTCTGGGAAGCCACATTGTTTGTTCTGATATTTATTGAACAAGCAGATACTGTTCTGATCTTTTCCTTGGGCAGTTACTGTTTCCTAGAGCATTATTCCCTCAGATATCTGCATTGTTAACCCCTCTACTTCATAAAAATTTCTGCTCAAATGTCACTTTTTGAAAAATTTTAATTGACAACATAATAACTGACATTTATGAAGTGCAGTGTGATATTTCAATACATGTATACAATTGTATGAATTATGATTGTGATCTTATGAAGATCAAATCAGGATAATTAGGGTAATTAGCATATGCAATTACTCCAAACATTCATGATTTCTTTGTGCTGGGAATAGTCCAAAACTTCTCTTCTAGCTATTGTCAAATACATACAAAGTAACAACTATCTATAGTCATCCAACTATGCTATAGAACAGTAGAACTTATTCCTCCTACCTAACTGCATTTTGGTACCTGTTACACATCCTCTCCCTAGCCTCCCCAACTCCATATTGTTTCAAAATAAAATAGGGTGATCCTGATCACTCTGTTTTCAATTATAATAGTAACACCTATTCTCTGTCTAGGCATGACTGATTCTCCTTATTCTGTAGTGCTTTCATGTTTCCCCATGGTTCTTCTCATTTTACAACCTATTTTATACTTTACTTTTTATTCATTGTTTATTTTATCTTTCACCATCCCTCTCTTATCATATAAACTCCACAAGGGCAGAGGTTTTTGTTTTATTCATGTATGCATTCCAAACTCCTAGAATAGAAGCTGACACAAAGGAGGCAATCTGTAAATATTTGACAAACTAATGATTGAAAAGATATGTCATACATAATTATTTGAGTCTTTTGAATAGCACTTTCTATTTCAAAACAGAGCAAAATCTAATTTAGACGTGATCATCACAGATCTTGATATATTAATCTGATGACTCCTTACATAAGTTACTATGCAATTCTTAGATTCAGAAACCTTCAATTTTTATTCAACTTTGATTTTTCTAATTCATTTGAAAATGGAGTATCTACTCTCTGTAAAATTTGCAGCTACTGAGAAATGCAATACTCTAAAAGATAAAGTCTCCAGAGTTTCTTCCTGTCTACCATTTACTTTTGAGAATTGGGCAGAGGTATATCAAGACGCAGGTAAAATGGACACTTCAAAAATATAATCACGTTCTCTGAGAGATCTTGTTCTTAGGAAGCTGTTCCTGTGCTATATACCAGCTCTGTTGTGCTCTCTCCTCTGGGCAATTTAGAAAACAGATGTTGATGCTTCAATCTGACAGAGAAATTAGTCTAAAATGGTGAAGTAAGGTTTGTTGCTAGGAAAGAAAACTCTGTTAAGGGCTGTCTCCTCCTGCTGATCAGTTAGTACTACTTGACTTCACTCTCCTAACCCACTCCCATAACATCTAAAATAAAAGGCCTCAGCTTAAGAAACTTCAAGGGAACAAAATGGGATATAATAAGTTTCTTTTGGAAAAAGATTAGGTGAACAACTGAGAAAATACATACAGCTTCCAAACTTCAGTGGACAGGCATGCACATCCATGGGAAAATCTTCCAAATGCATAGGACACTCAGCATGAATTGTTAATCTAAAAGAAAGAAAGACAGAAAATGAAATAATGCTAAATTACATGTTATTCACCATGAAGCTCAGATCCCACTTGACAGCAATTGTACAGTCCTAAGAATGACAGGAAATTTTGCTTATTTAGGTTCTCTGAATCTTTATAAACATACAAGATGAATTAAACGAACTAGATAGGTCTCAGATCGATATTCAGTATTCATATTTTTAGATCAGATCTGAACCCCACCTTAGAAAAAAAATAAATTTAACTGGTCAAATAGTACTTCCTTAGCCACTCTCCAAGAAGACTGGAAATACCAGGTTCTGACTCATTCGCTCCCGACCACAGCTTAATTATTTCTGAAATAATTCTCAGCAGGCTATTATGTGAGTTATCCAATTTAAAGATTGCACTTGAGAAGATAATGTGTAGAAAGAATATATTTTACCCTGATAATGAACAGAAAGACCCCAAAAAGGATTCTGCTGATCACAGGAACTGTTATGGCTTTTTTGAAAGAGATGATTCTTGGAGAACACACACACACACACACACACACACACACACACTTCATAAAAAATAAACACAAAGGTAATAGAGGACATCAGAATCATCAGATCCTCAGATCCTTAGGGGTCAAGTCTGAAGAGTGGAAATCTGGATGGGGTTTGATTTGCCATGTTCATATACTCTCTCTTACATTAGTCTGTCTAAATAATCTATGCCAAAGTTTCCCTCTGAATTATTTCTCATTTTTTGAGGCTCAACTTCGTTTGGCCTACATTGTAGTCTCTTAGGTAGAAATGAGACCTACACAGTAAACATTCAGAGTTCTTTGAAATGTAGTCTTATGAAGTACTTCTATATAGCTCCTGGTTATATCTAACCCAATTGCTGCCATCCCCCTGAAGTTCTAATAAGTTGAGAAGCTAGTTGTCAATTTTGGTGTTATTCATTTTCCCAGTAGCTTCTTCCCTTAGGTACCCTGCTTATAATTTTTCAGGATCCAAATACACCTAGGGGCCAGAATCTATGCCTAATGAGTCATCAGTATATCAAATAGAGAGGAATATGCCTCACTTTTAGGAATTATCAAAGTTGAGGCAACAAATTTACAAAGGCCTGTAGAAATCCTATGTGCAGAATCTCCATTTCTCATCCTCAATCCCAATGTACAGTAACAGTGTAAGGTAGGAGGATCCCAGCAAGAGGATATCCTCCAGGCCACTGCTATCTGACAATGTTTATCTTTGGTTGATGACAGTGAGATAGCAGAAGATATTTATTGTGAAATTATAGATATTCATATGTTTAGGAAGGCAAAGAAATGTAATGTATAATTATTATGATTATAATGATCATTGCTAATAACCCATGAGATGTTCACAGAATGTTACAGCTTCTAAAGCATATTCACATTCAGATAATCTTACTCAAATCTGTCCCTAATATTTGTGACATAGTTATCCTAGTTGCCTGGAAGAAGGATGCTATTTATTCCATTTTTTCCCTTTGGTACCTCTGTGAAGTAAATATTGGAGGTATTATTATTATTCCTATTTCAGAGACAAGAATCCACAGAGTTAAATTGAGTTACTCAGAATCATACAACCAGAGGACAGGAGTGCCAATACAGAGATTGTTTTGCATTAGTTATCTTCTATTTACCCGAAGGTAAATCCCTCCTTGGGAATCTTTTAGTCACACCAGAGATGCTGTGATTATCTATGGTTATATCTAAGTAAACATTTCCTGTGTTTAAGGTAGTTACAGGAAAATACCAAGAAAATAAGGAAGAATAAGAGCAATAACCACTACTGCACAATGATTACTGTATAAGAGGTGAACAATAATAATTACATATGCAGTTAACTCATTAACATAGAACAGGAGTTGGTGCACTATCTGGGTACAGTCAGAATGCTTCCTGGTGCAGAAAAAGCTAGAAGGGATATTAAAATTAAAGTAAATAGCAAAGTGGAAGGAGAGAGGGAGGACAAGAAGGGAATACTGTATTTCACCAGAGGTCAGAGAGCATTAGGATCTAAGAAGAACCAATGGAAAGAACACAGCATTATTTGGCTTGTGAAGTCCCCTGCCCCCACAAACATCTACTTTTTCTTCTCTGTGCTTAGGTGGGATGAGAGAGAAGTGGATGAAAAGGAAGATAGGAAAGTTATTACAAACCTGCTCCTAATCAGAAATCACTACCTTTGCATCCTGTCTTTATAATCTATTTGTTGTGATCTTATTCTCCACATCCCAAGGACTGCTGGTACACATGAAGTAATTTCCCCTTGACATTACTCATAAGAGGCAGTATCTTGGAAATAATAATGTAAGTGGAGAGCAAGAACACAATTTTCTTTATTAAACCCTCATGGAATCTTTTCAGTATCCAACACAAGGAACAGGTTTCTCAGTGAAATATATTTCTCTTATGTCATGAAATCACCTTTATGCCTGAAGAATAAAGGTCAAATTGGTGGGATTTTACAGACTGGTGGAAGAACTGAACTTTTGTTCAAGATACATAGGAAATTTTGTAAATATCCAAGAGATTAGTTAGAGCTGAAAGCATACTTGTCTTTTAGTTCCAACCTCTTGCTGCTTAGAGATGGACATACTGAATATTAGAGATGGGTAAGTATTTACTGAAGGGTACACAGTTGGTTTCTGCCTTCCAACCTGGAGTTGTTGCTAATGCACATCTAGGTACATATGCTTTAGATATCCTGCTTTGAGCAATATCTATTATTGTTCTGATCATTTGTGAAGTTGTTTCACATCTATCAGCCATGTTTAGAGATGCTGACCAGTTAGCTATGAAGAGGTGGCTGACTGGAAAGCAATTGAGCTTGATTTTCTTATAACTTCATGCCAGAGGAATAAGTGCTTCAGTTTTGTCATTTATCCAGATAGTAACAATATTTAAGTTTTTCTTCCAAATAGTCCATTCCATAATCTATGTAAAATGCTTTTCTTTCCTAGTCTGATCAAGTCAATGATACAAAATTTAGACGTTCAGAATGATAACATTCACAATAAATGGAAATCATCATTTAATTTATGGGATTATGAACTGGAGGATGATACCTACAGAGTGATTGATCAGAGAGATTATTTATTACTGCAGTCTCATTAAAAGATGAAAGGGATATGAACTAAGATATTAGCAGTAGACATAGAAAGAGATACTAAAAACATTTAGAAGGAAAAATAAGAAAGACTTTGTGTTTAGGTATTAGACTATTCCCAACTTTAGTGTCCTAAACAGTTAAACAAAACCCATTCACCCATTCACTATTTATTCAATAACTTCATGGATGTCCAGGATATCAGGAGGCATAAGTCACTTGGCTGTAGTTCTTTCAACATGCCAAGTTCTCTGACATCATGGCTTTTGCATTGACTATGCTCTTGGCCCAGAATGTTCTTCTTGCAAATGCCTGGATGACTAATCCTCACACTTTTTTTCAAGTCTATTTCTAATTACTCCTTCTAAATGGGGCCTTCTCTGTATTCTCAGTTTTCTACCCACCCCATGGATAGTAAACATTGCTATGCTCTTTCTTTCTTTCTTTCTTTCTTTCTTTCTTTCTTTCTTTCTTTCTTTCTTTCTTTCTTTCTTCCTTTCTTTCTTTTGAAACTAACCTACAACATACTCTATAATTTTTTTATTCATCATAAGGTTAGGTATTTTTATCTTTTTTTCTGTTTGACATGTGCCAAGAACCTAGCACATTATAGGTATTCAAGGAACACACAATGAATGAATTACTGGATAACTTATTTCTTAAAGACCTATTTGTACTAAAAGCTTGCAAAGAGTAGGTGTGCATTGGGCAAGACAGCGTTTGGGGATTCTTGGGGTTCCACAAAAAAAACAGTATCTTGATGTGATTAATTAGCAGAATAATATCTGGGCATATACCTTCTTTTATACAATTTTGGGACTAGAAGAGCTTTATATAAAGCATCTAGTTTTACCCCCCCCCATATATTTTATGTATGAGAAAACAGAGGGAAGGTAACTTGCCCAGAATAATCCAACATCTCTGGGAAAGAGCTGGTTGAAAGTTTCTTGACTCACTGGTGTATTCAACAAATATTTATTGGTTACCTACTATGCATCAAGATATTGTCCTAAACAATGTAATTATATTAGGGAACTTATGAAGATTGTCCACTTAGGGCATAAATCTGAGTGGAGTAAAACGAAATAAACAATATAAATAAGTAAATTGTAGAGCATATTAAAAGGTGATATGCCCCAGGGAGAAAAATAAGTATGGGTAGAGAGTATATGGAGGTATTGATTTGACTAATATTTTAGGATAATTCTGGCAGCTGTGTAGAGAATAAATTGAAACAGGACAAGGACTCAAGCATAGTTATGAAATCTAACAGTGATCACGACTCAAACCTCTTGAAAATCTTGAGATAGAAGGCAACTTTCTCATCTGATAAAGGGCATTTGAAAAAAAAAAACAACCACAAAACCTTATATCTAGCACCACACTCAATACTAAAGGACTGTTACTTATTTGTTCCATGAGGCAAGAATGTCTGTTCTCTGTTATTTACCACAATATTAGAGATTTTAGTCACTCCAAAAAGAAAACCAACAGGACATGACTATTATAAATATGGAGTTATTTTTAAGGAGATGAGTAAAATATTCTAGGTTAGATAGATATTGGTGATGTTTGCACAACTGCAATTATGTTATAAATCATTTAATTGTGCACTTTAAAGAAAGGGTGCATTTTCTGACATACGTATAATATTTCAGAAAAGCTGGCTAAAATTAGACAAGCAAAGAAATATAAGACAAAAATTGGAAAGCAAAAATCTAAACTGTCTTTGTTTAGAGGTGATATGTTCAGACATTCTGTGCATATATATTTAGAAGATCTAAAGCCATTAAGATGTCAATTCTTAGCAAATTGCTCTATAAATTCAAAATTTCTTTTCAAAATTTCAGAAGTTTTTCTTTTAGTAAAACTGGTAAATTGGTT